TATATATATATATATATCTCCATCTATCTATCTATCTATCTATCTATCTATCTATCTATCCATATCCATCTATCTATCTATCTATCTATCTATCTATCTATCTATCTATCTATCTATCTATCTATCTATCTATCTATGTGTGTGTGTTACATAGGGATTTGAATGTATCCCAAGGTAATTTAATGAAAATGAATAGAACCTACATTGTAATTAATGGGTTACAAAGGTTCCATTCTTTCAAACTGTTAGATATTTGTCAGGTTGATACTGTTTTGCAGAAACTGAAGTGTGCAGACATTCCATAGATTACACTTTTTTTATCATCTTTATCTAGACAAGACATATTAATATATAACCAACCGAAAAGAGCAATGAAGATGTGCGGAGTGCGGTTTCCCATAGCAACTAATCAAAATGAATCTTTTATCAGTTCAGAATAGTCAAGACAATGAAAGACAATTGCTGCTTGGTCGGACTTTTGGCATTATTCATTCCCTAAACAAGCCTGTCACTCAGTTATTAAATCACGCTGATATATTTGATAAGACACATATATTGATATATTGTAAGAAATGAGGAGTGATTGTTATGTGCAATGCTATCGTCATATAGCCAGCCATATGGGTGAAATAAGTTAATAGAGAAAAACTGGGTTGGTTTACTAAATGAGTTGAGGACTCAACTTGTGTGAATATTCTATCTAATTATCCAATCATTTAATAAGCATTCGCACATGATTGGATATTCAACGTGATCAGAAATTTGCTTTTCACACAAATGGATAAGTGAAGTGAATATTCACAAATTTTCTGAGTGCAGATATTCTTAACTCACATTAATACCCATTTTACCCACGTGACTTTATAATAATTGCAGTGCACATAACTATCACTCCTCATTTCTAAAACCAAAAAACGCTGCCTCTATTACAAATAGATCAGTGTGAAGATTCTCGACTCCTTTAGAAAATCACCTTCAGTCCTTATATGGTATGTGAACATAATGGACATTTCATTGCTTTAGCTGCCCCCATAATGATTCCCATTATAGGCAATACCATCATTGTATCACTGCCACGCTTATTTGCCTCTGTAATGTATTCACAGGGGATGTCTATGAAATTGAACAGTTGCATGATGCCTGTGTTGGAGAATGGTCCCTTAATTTGGTCCACCCAAATAAGAGAACCATGAAAGCTCCTGTTTCCAGCAGAGGGATGGGGTCCAGCAGCCACGTTTGTGGATTTTGGCTGTGACCTCCCTTAGCTCAGAAGATGCTGTGGAGCTTACACATTGATTGCTATATACAGTAGGCACATTTATACCTTGGCCATGACAGTGAATAGACTGGCAAAGAGGCTGACACACATTCACTGCTAGTCAATCATTTCCACTGACTGTAGATGCAAAACACTATAAGATTTAGGACAGGTTAAACTTTGTATTGTGCACATCACTGCACTGTATATGGACAATGATTGTCTCCTCAATGAACTGCAGTCAATGTACAAGTATCGGGATGGTATGGGTCACATTGGTGATGCCCTGTTGATCGCCAGATAGTACATACAGGTAAATTGGGTAACCTGGGCAAATGTTAGTAGATGTTTAATAGATTCACTCATTCATACAATACACACACACATATTGTCAGGGATTCAGAACTGCTGCAAATACCATTCTCAGTTCAATATTTCCTTTTCCCATTCGCATGCTCTTGCAGCACTGTTTTTCACAGTGATTTTGTTTAAAAGACAGAAATTTCCAGCATGCTGGATTATATTCTGGACTGATCCCACATATTTTTAAGAATTCACCGCACTCTTCATAGCACTACACAAATATCCAATGGGATGAATGGATCTACTGCATTGCTAGAGGTTGGCCAGCAAACTCTAGCAATGAGTCATTCCCAAGTATGAATGAACTGTATTCATTCACATTCCTGTATTAGCCTGTGTATTTTAATGAACTAGCTAACACAGAATGTTGACTTAAAATCCATATTTTATATACTAGGACAGCATCTTTAATTATTTATACCCGGTACGAAGTTTGCATATTCCACAAAGTTTCCCCTGTAAATATGACTGCAATATCATTTTCTGTACCTTTTTTTCCCCGTGAAATAATGATTTCAATAACTGATAATATATAAATGTGACATTACCTTTAAAAGTTCAGTGCAGTATTTGAATAATCTATGTCCCATACACCTGGCATAAAACTTTTAGGCTTTGATAGATCTTTCTCACTGTTGTTGGCGGTCTCTTGTTTCCTTGTTGGGGAGGAAAAACATTCAATGACAGTTTTCTTAGTGATGTTCACCGGCCTCCAGATGTTCCCAGCCTTCCACCTTTTAGAATGCAAAAATCCCCTTTTTATGGTGTAGAGTGTCAGGCTCCTTGCAGGCAGTTGTGGCAGCAGCAGGAGAAGTAGCGAGGATGTAGTATAAGTATTGTGAGTGTGAAGGAAAGAATTTTTTTTCACAATCAGACCAAGTTTAGCAGGCTCTGACTTTGAGACTCCTCCTGTCAATTTTTTTTTTTTTCCGGATAACTCCTGGAAATGCCTGCTGATTACTAAGTATGCTGGACCCTCCTGCAAAGGTAAGTGAATGTCCAGTGGTGACAGCGTGGAGGCAGCGAGGTGAAAGAGAAGTAGGTGGGTTTTAGGGCAGTGGGTCCATGCTCCTGCCCCCTGGGGTGTCCCATCATTAGGATGATTGTATATAAGTGGATCCTAGCCATGAGTGGAGGTATACTGCTGCTGGACTAGAGAAAGAACAAAGTCACGTTAGTAAAAAGAAGACACAGAGACCAACTTTATTCCTACAGAGATGGGTTCAGTCAGGATTCTGTATGCTACTTCCCTCCAGGTGTTGTGGAACTAGAGATTCCAGCACAGCCGCCGACCTAATCCTGAACAAAATCTAGACATATGCTGTTCCATGAATTCAGGATTGCTTTAATAAAGCAAAGGGCAATAAAAGGGTAAAATATCCATAACAACCAGCAATCATTTTCATTGCCCTGACTGCTGATTCATGGTTGCTGTTGGTAATTGCACATCAGTGTTCTTTACAATGATATGAGTTTTAAATTCACTTTACAACATACTTTGGTCAATAGGATGAAATGTCATTATATCTTTGTAGTAAGCAGCACCTTAGGGAGCAATAACTTTTTTATTAACCCACGCAAATCAAATAGCAGGGTGCTGCAGCAGGTATAGTACATTTTCAGGGAACGCATTATATTCGTGTGTTAGCAGAGATCACAGATAATACCTTTAAGAAAGCATTGGTTCTATAGCATAGAAAAACTTGGAGTATACTTTGTAACAATTTTATAAAAGTGTTGTAACCCATAGCAACCAACTGGAACTTTTGGCAGTTTACTGCCGTAAAGAAAATTTGTTTGGAATATGAATACTGTATATATATCTATATACTGTATATGAGGAACATTTTAAGATCTTAATTTTCGTGCCATGATAAATACATATTTGGCTCCATTAGGATTCCTTGTATGACTTTGTTCATTACAAGGACTTTTTCTTTTCTTTTTTTAACTTTATAATTTTTCAGATTTTTTTTCCCCGTTTCATAAATAATATTCCACTTAAAATAAAGCCCACAGCTGATCGTAAACGAAGCCGTAATGAGAAATATATGGAAGTTTCCATTGCTGATCCTGACCTGCTTGTGAAAATGTTAGCTGTCTGCCTGTGTCTGACTTTGCCTGGAAAAGCAGCTTAGAGTGAAATCCTGATCTGCACCTTTCTTCTGTACAGTGACACAGAAAGCATTGAAGCCACTGGATCAGCATAACATCCAGGCAACTCACATTTTCAGTCCGCTTTTGCAACCTCCATGCTTCCCTGTAACTGTTTCTTTTAACAATTATATCTACTTGAAAAAGGCAGATTGCCTAAAGTAAAGCAAATAGTAATGATGTGTAAATTGTCAGTAACCTATAGCAACCAATCAGATTTCACAACTTATCAAGTTAGAATGGGTAATATAAAAAGCAATGGTTACTTAGTATAGGCTACAGCACTTTGTACATTGTCATGTAAAGAACAACTCGGGGTAAAGATTCTTTCCAAAAGTGAACTTTCACACTTTCCAAAGTGAACTTTCACTTTAGTAAATCAAACCCTACTTCAAGCAAAGTAAACCTCTTCTGGCTTGTTTAAAGCAGAACTCCGAGTAAAAATTTGTTTAACCCTTGCAGTGGGGCTACTCCCGCACTGTAAGGGTTAACCGCTCGTTTTTGCCTAGGGTCAAAAATAACAAAGTTATGGTCACCCAATCCTCTGATCCAGCCGTCTATGTCAGCGATCCTTCCTGCCTGTCTCCCCTGCTGCAGCGATGGTATGTCCATCTGCATCCTCACGTCCTATACACTGTGTCTAGAATGTAGCGTGGTAGGGACCTTAGAAGACTGCTGCTGCAGAGGGGGAGAGAGGCTCGAGGGACCATCTAAGAGCAAGCTGGCTCGGAGGATCGGGTGATCATAACTTTTTTATTTTTGACCCTAGGCAAAAACGAGCACCTCATCCCTGCAGTGGGGGAGTAGCCCCACTGCAAGGGTTTATAAAAAATGTTACCCAGAGTTCTGCTTTAAATAAACCAGAAGAGGTTTACTTCTGCTTGAAGTAGGGTTTGATTTAATAAGGTGGTAGAGACTGATCATCTACTAAAGTGAAAGTTCACTTTGGAAAGTGTCTGTCTTTTTTTGCAAAGTGAACAGTAATAATAAGGTGAACTTGTGTTCATTTAAAATACGTCATCTAGTGCGGGGAACTGAATAAAACAGCATTTTTACTAGCTCATGATTGACTGCTTTAAATGAACAAAGCTTCACCCTATTTTCTCAGCTCAGTGAGAATTTACCTCTAAAAGTGAAAAAATTTACTTTGCTAAGTGAACGGCTTATTTTCATGTAGATGAGTCGAGTCCCAGAGTCTCTCTTTGACATTACTTGGTTATCTCAAGAAAAATTCATAAGAGATTGATCCAATTCATCACCTCCTCATATGTATGGTGAAGGACTTCCAGTTCTCTCAGCATACACAGAGAGTAGGAGAAGGAGAGACAAGACGTAACTATTAACTTCAAGCAGAACCCCGGGTAAAAACTTTATTAATCCTTGCAGTGGGACTACCCCCTTACTAAAAGGATTAAGTGCTTATTTTTGTGGAAAAGTTCTAAAATAAAAAAGTTATACTCACCCAATGCTCTGAGCTGGCTTGCTCTCAGACCAGTCCCTGGAGCCTCCCCCCCCCCCCCTCTTTTCAAAGGTCTAAGGTCCCTGAGTCATAATGTTCTATAACAACCATGAACTTATATCAGAAGGGTACTCCTGATGGTACCCTGCAAAATAATAGCTGTCATCAGCGGCTGAAAAGCCGCTGTTGACAGCTATTAACAAAAAACCCGCCTTCCCCCCCGCCTGGCATCTGACAGGTTCTCCTGCCTTCTCCATGCCGGGATCTGCTTCTCCTCAGATCCCCACTGTTCTCCCCCGCCTGTATGAGCTGAGGCAGCGGGGATCTGTGGAGAAATGTAGCTCTGCAGGCGGCAGAGGGGATGTGGTGGAGGGAGCCGCTTGTCATCAGGATGGCTGAGCAGTGAGGAGAGAGGAGCTGCAGCCGAGGGGGGAGAAGAGCAGAGCCACTGTCATCCTGTCAGTTTCAGGATGACAGCGGCATTGTGTGTGGCCGAGCAGAGGATCACAGATATTTACCTATCCTCTGTGTGCAGAGCAAACGCTGGAGTGATCGCTGATCACTCCAGCTGTTTGTAGACAACTGGGGATGCATAGTACTATGGGTTCCCAGTTATGAATGAACATGAAGTGCTTTGCATCACTTCCTGTTCATTCATGAGTTTCTGAATGTATAGTAGTACTCAGTACAGAGGCTTCTATCCATTCATAACTGGGTGAGAGTAAATATTTACTATCTCCAGTTTGTGAATGAGTGGGAAGCCTCTGTATTGAGTGCTTTCCATTCATTCAGAACAGAGGCTGCAAAAAAAGAGATTGAGGACTCTGTGCCCTTAATTTCATTTTCTATTTCAAAAGGGAAATGTCAGGGGTATGTTTAGGCCCCTAATATTTCACCAAAGCCTCCCAGCAGTAAAATAATAATAACAATAACAACACAAAATAAAAAAAATAATAAAAAAAATAAATAAAATACAACATCCCCCCCACACACACATATTATACGCGTACAACAGCGTGCACCATATTATGGTGTATGCCCTGCACATGCACTTAGGTGCGTTGTTAGAACATATTGCAGTGCTTGATTTTTTCTTTTCAAAATAACATTAATTTAACTGTGACAGCGCAAGGCAAAGTGTTGTGATGCATTGCCATGCATTGTGATCTGCTGTGTTGCGAGTAAATGTACGCCTGTATCATTGTATCACAACACACGCACCAACACAGTGCACAAATGATTTTTAACATAAGTTGCTTATTTACAGTTTTTACAGGCGCAATGTAAAATTTTTAAGTAAATATTTGTTATTTATTAACTCAATACAGTTTTATCTTTTACATTTAGTCGGAAAGGTATTTTTTTTGTGCACTGATACTGATTTTAGTGTGCTTTTATCAATTTAATTGTGTATTTCTTTCTGTTTAATATTGATTTGGTAAACATTTGCGCAATTATCTCAGGACCTACAAAATTAGTAGCACCATCTTTTTATTCTACTGGGCCTGTGCTTTCAGAAAATGTATGGTTTGGGAGGTCTTTTACAAAAGCCAAAAGCTGCTGTTGAAAATAAAAAAAGTTACAAATCCCAAAAATTATGTGGCCAGCTGAGATTAAAAGCATTCCAGAGGGCTTGGCAGCGAAAGGGTTAATGAACAAGTGATCTTCTTTTCTCCTAATGGGTCACATAGGAAAGAAGTGGTGGAAGTTAGCAACAAAAGAGAGGCAGCGGGTACACTAAGCCAAACATTGGGCTGATCATGTTGATAATGGTTAACCAAGAGATCCCACTATACATTTTAGGGGTGTGCCGGTCATCAAGCGATGACACAAAACAAACCCATATATTATTAATGTTATTATCAAATTAAAAATAAATTGTAATATAGTATTAGATAAGTACTATAAAAATGAATGCTGCACTCTCAAACCGCACAAACCAAAAGTATCTGTGCCTAAATGTGGCATTCCATGTCATTCAGTGTAGGCTTGTCCTCCGGAAGAGAGGTGGATT